CTTCCCCACAAACACATACTATTTATTAAAGAATACACCCCGGGGTAATTCAAAAGGCATATTTTGAACCTTGGCGTGGGATAATTTTTTCTCTAGTTTGCTCCAGGTGTAGTGGTAATGAGCGTTTTTAAAATGTATTTTTTTACTTTTTATAACTTTTTTACTTTTAAAAACTAGTTTTTAAACTTTTGTTTTGCGTATTAATTTTTTTAAACTTTCCTAAACTTTCTTAAAACTTTTTTACAGATTTAACATTTTTCTAAGCTTTTTTTTTACCGTTAACCCCTAACTAGCAGTACGCAGCACTAACAGTAAATTCCCCATTTTCCCATAACTCCCACCCACCCCAGCTAGCAAAATACATAGTTATAAAATATTTTAATTAATTAATTAAATAAATTGAACCCCTGAGAGTTAAAAAATAAATAAAAAGTTAATCCTCAGGGGTTAAAAAAAATTAGATCACAGTATAATACTGTGATCTCTATTTGATCGCTGTAGGCAGTGATCGACGGCAGGGAAGGGGTTAATTTTTATTTGGACTAGGTAAAGGTTTTTTTTTTTTTTTTACTTAAACGTTATTAAAACATTTTTTAAGCTTAATTTTTTACTTTTTAAAGGTTATTTTAAAACTTTTTTTAACGTTAACCCCTAGTTAGCCTAACGCCAAATCCCACAATACCCCACTAACTTCCACCCACCCCAGCTAGCTAAATATATAATTTTAAAATATTTTAATTAATTAATTAAATAAATTTAACCCCTGAGGGTTAAAAAAAAATGAATTAACCCTCAGGGGTTAAAAAAAAAATCAGATCATAGTAAAATGTAATCCCTGCCAATTGATCACTGTAGTCAGTGATCAATTGGCAGGGAAGGGGTTAATTTTTTATTAAAATGGGTAAGGGGGACTTTAAATAAACTTTATTTTTTTTTCCAGCAGGGGGCAGGATCAGCACTGATCCGGCTCCCTGCACTTCACACAGAACCCAGAAGTGCAGGGAGCCGGTAGGTGAGTATACAGAGCACATGTGCTCGCTCAGACTTGCGGTCAGAGCGAGCACATGTGCTGGGCAGCCTGACCGGGTGCTCCCGGTATGCCTCTAATGCAGAGGCATACCGGAGCACCATTAACCCCGCGATCGCCGCAATAGCGGCGATCCAGGGTTAATTTTACCGCGTGACGGACGAGGTCCGTCACCCGTCATTAAGGGTCTCCCCTGTGTGACGGACCTCGTCCGTCACCCGTCCTGAAGGGGTTAAAGTAAGGTTTCCATAGTAGTTATTTATCTTATTTCTTTTATGAAAAAAAAAACAAAACCCACAAACACGCACCTGTTTTATTTATCATTTTTCTTGTTACTTGCTGTTACTTGGCAAAAAGTCCGTCACTCGTCCTTAAGGGGTTAAATCTGCCTTTTAAAGACTGAAATAAAATATGTTTTTGTGCTTTGTGTTGGACTCCTCATTGTGAATGTTAATTTATTCCAAGTGAGGCATTAGCATACAGTTTCACTATTACACATTATTTTATTTTTTTATATGTTCACATTTTACTGGAAAAGAACAAGTACAAATCAGATGTATAATGTTTTGTTAGGCTGCTTAATTATGTATAAAGAGCTAACATAAGCTTGCGTGCTATGTCAGTAACATTTTTCATGGGTTTTTCTCCTTTGAAAAATGCTTATTACTGTAAAATCATAGACAGCTCACATGACAATGCATTTGGGACTTTTCAAAAGTACAAATAATTTTACAGAGTCTGCTAATATTCACAAACACTTTGGTTACCATTTTACGAAATGTTTATAAAAGTGTTGCAAACAGATATGAGTATTTTTATTCCCCAATATATAATTTTTATTGAAGTTTTGTCATAAAAATACAAGGGAATACAAATATCAACAGTATTGAGACATATTGCATGACTCCTGTGTAGACATCAATGTGCGTACGTTGTACAATTGTTTCATACCTTATACAGTATATTCCATGAATACTGGTCTTAGCCTACAGGAGAGCAGGAACTTGCATCAACAGACATTTAGATATAGAACACATCACTGGATTGGTTCGTACAGAAGAGAAAATTGGTTTGTTAAGCATGCGATATGACATCCTACATCCACGGATGCGGTATCAAACATTCATGGTCTGCAAACGTATCATACAACATTTGGCTTAGCGTCGTCATGCTGAGAATTACAGCATACAGAAAACATATTTGGGGGAAACTAGGGTAATTAACGATGGAGAGAGATTGGGGAAGGAGAGTATTAGCCCTTGGCCATGTAGCCGAGATTTTATAGTTTGCTGCGGACGTGTGTGTGGACCTTTTGGGCCCCCCAACACCAAGATTTCTAGGATTCAATTTATGCTCATTGATCGTGTTGCCTCAGTTTGCGGGGTATGGTGTGGTCTGGACAACCAGCTGGTCCAGTTTTATAGAATTTTTTTAATATTTTTTTTTTTTTTTCAATGTTTGTTGTTTATTAAAGGTTATTCATGGATACCAGACATTTCATAGCGACATTGCGGATTACACCATTTAAACATCATGGGTGCCAAATTAACATAAACTATGACATATGATTGACAAGCAGAGATATGTGTATTTTTTAAAGGGCACTATAGTCACAAAAACAACTTTAGCGTAATGAAGCAGTTTATAGATGTCACCGCTCAATTCTCAGCCATTTAGGAGTTAAATTACTTTTGTTTCTCTTTATGGAGCCCTAGTCAGACCTCTCCTGGCTGTGACTGGCAAAAAAAAAATGGTTTCAGATCTTGCTTACTTGGAAGTTTTCATCTCCTGCCAGTAAGCCTTACTTCAGTAGTGGGGAAAGTGATGGAAACCATGTTAAAGGATAGGATTGATGAACATCTAAAAACACATGGATTTCAAGATCAGAGACAACATGGGTTTACTTCAGGGAGATCATGCCAAACTAATCTTATTGATTTTTGATTGGGTAACTAAAATTATAGATCAGGGTGGTGCAGTAGACATTGCTTACCTAGATTTCAGTAAGGCTTTTGACACTGTTGCACATAGAAGGCTTATCAATAAACGGCAATCTTTAAGTTTGGATTCCAATATTGTTGAATGGGTAAGGCAGTGGCTGAGTGACAGGCAACAGAGGGTTGTAGTTAATGGAATAGATTCGAAGCTTGGACTTGTCACCAGTGGGGTACCTCAGGGATCTGTACTTGGACCCATTCTCTTTAATATTTTTATTAGTGATATTGCAGAAGGTCTTGATAGTAAGGTATATCTTTTTGCTGATGATACTAAGATATGTAACAGGGTTGATGTTCCAGGAGGGATAAGCCAAATGACCAATGATTTAGGTAAACTAGAAAAATGGTCAGAATTGTGGCAACTGACATTTAATGTGGATAAGTGTAAGATAATGCATCTTGGACGTAAAAACCCAAGGGCAGAGTACAGAATATTTGATACAGTCCTAACCTCAACATATGAGGAAAGGGATTTAGGGGTGATTATTTCTGATGACTTAAAGGTAGGCAGGCAATGTAATAGAGCAGCAGGAAATGCTAGCAGAATGCTTGGTTGTATAGGGAGAGGTATTAGCAGTAGAAAGAGGGAAGTGGTCATGCCATTGTACAGAACACTGGTGAGACCTCACTTGGAGTATTGTACACAGTACTGGAGACCGTATCTTCAGAAGGATATTGATACCTTAGAGAGGGTTCAGAGAAGGGCTACTAAACTGGTTCATGGATTGCGGGATAAAACTTACCAGGAAAGTTAAAGGAGAAGGGCTACTAAACTGGTTCATGGATTGCGGGATAAAACTTACCAGGAAAGTTAAAGGATCTTAACATAGTTTGGAGGAAAGACGAGACGGGGGGATATGATAGAAACATTTAAATACATAAAGGGAATCAACACAGTAAAGGAGGAGACTATATTTAAAAGAAGAAAACTACCACAACAAGAGGACATAGTCTTAAATTAGAGGGACAAAGGTTTAAAAATAATATCAGGAAGTATTACTTTACTGAGAGGGTAGTGGATGAATGGAATAGCCTTCCAGCTGAAGTGGTAGAGGTTAACACAGTAAAGGAGTTTAAGCAGCGTGGGATAGGCATAAGGCTATCCTAACTATAAGATAAG